TTCTCCAGACCCTGCCCCATGCTTGGAGTCTAACTTGGAATGAATCTGAGCGATTTTATCCTGCAGATGCTCCGAAAATTCCTCCACGCAGCCCTGCAAATGAATCACCAAATCCCCCTTACCAAGGAGGGATCTACTGATCCCAAACAGGGCCGCCGGGCAGCATTCTGCGGACACGATAAGGGCGGAGAAGTAGTAGCGCTTCGCTGATCTTATCGCCACAATGTAGGCCTTAATAGCAGCTCTAATCTGTGTTTGGTTGGATTCGGTCTTTGTCTTCCTCCAGCGACACTCTAGAGGTCTCTGAACCCTCTTCAGAACCCTCAACTCCTCCGTGAACCATGGGGAGTATCGGGGCCAATGTGGCAAGAGAGGTCGCATAGGTGTGATCCTATCCAAGGCCCCGGCCGCCTCTCTATTCCAGGCAGCAGCCAAGGCCTCCGCTGGACCGTGCAGCAGAATTGGCAAACAATCCTGAACCCCTACCACAAATTTCCAGGGACATACCCTGTATGAAAAAAGTAGCATCAAGATTTGTCTATTCAGTAAGTTCTTTACCTAAGAAAAGATAATGTGGTAAGTATTTATATTCCACTTATCTTGATTTATTTTCAGTGCAGGCCTGATTATTATGTCATTTTTATCAACAAATAACAAAAGGAATAGCATCTCACTCTGACCTTCCACTAGTTAGCTTCAACCTTACCTTTGGAAAACTCTGTAGGAAAATGTCAGGGTAAACCTAAATGTGGGATTAAGAAATGGAGTGGTAGTCCAGATCAGAAAGATATGAATGCTAAAAGAATTGAGCTTGCTAAATGTCACACTCAGATCTGCTTGCATTACAGAAAGACAGCTGTGCCAGTGACAGAATGAGACGTTCAGCAATTGCGCTGAAGTTTGGAATAGTAGCACTGCTGTATCATATCAAAGTCATCTGGTCCAAAGATCTGTTTCCAATAGTGGTGTATCAGAAACTTCTAAAAAGATCACAAGCAGGGACTAGACCATTCTATTTCATCTGCTTGTTCCCAGCCCCAGAAGCACTAGACATGCTGCCTCTAGACATAATGTTTACATGCATTTATACCTATGGCCCTATATTCCACTCATTTTGTTGATCTGGGAGAAATAAAATCAATAAACACATCTGATCTTTATTTATTGAGTGAAAGCACACTTCTCTTGCTTAACTTGGGTGATGTCAGTCTTCCTAGAATTTCCAGCCAGCTTAATCGGAACTGAAGAAAGTCAATGTATTGTCGAAGGCTTTCACGGCCAGCATACGATGGCTGGTGTGGGTCTTCCGGGCTGTGTGGCCGTGTTCTTGAAGTTTTGTTTC